AAAAAAAAAAAAAAAAGAACTGTAAAAACACCACCCTAAAAGGACCTAGACAAGCTTGCTCAATGCATTACGATCTAAGAGAATAAGACCTAACAAATAATTAACGGCCTAAAAGGAGCCAACCAGGACTAACTCAATGAATTACTATCAAAGAGAATGAGACCTAACAAATAATAGAGCTTGTCATGTAGCTCATTTTATACAAGTCCATGATGTAATTGAAGTTACTTCAAGGTATCAGTAATGAATTCCGCATTAAACTGTAAAGCATGAATGTTGATGGTACTGGTAATAGAGAAAACAAACCTGTTATTATCTACTTGGCCCCAAAAAGAGCATCCACATTTCCATGAAATCTCAGCACAATAGATGAGTCCTTTCAGCCATAAAGTGCAACCATGCAAGTAGGATGGAAACTGATTCCAAGTTGTGCATGTGTGAGATTATATCTCTTCCTCATTTAATTACAAATAGAATACAAGGTAGATATTTCTAAATGGAGGTCACTTACAGTTGCGACGACACGACAGAATTGATCTTTTTAAGTTTTAGTCCATGTCACCAATGCAACGCCCTCAGCTTGTTGAATCCTCCCACTATGCAAACCCCCCCATCATTTAGTAAACTCACAAAAAGTTTATGACAGGAATGACATTGGAGGATATTGAGGCACTACAAAGGGTATATTTGCAAATAGTTAGGGAGCTTGTTGTGGTATTTGGTTATAAGCAGCGAGTGGGAAAGGAGAAAGTTAGTCATTGATCCAATAGTTAGGGAGAAAGTTCTCTTTGAAAACCAACTCATCAAAAAATAGTCATTTATTTAGAATCTGAATGAACTTCTATCTCCATTATTGGCAAACATCTAACATCTTAGATTTTGATCGTGAATCTAATCCAGAAGAAACTTTAAAAGATAATAGTAACCAAAAACAATTGGGAAAGTCATCTCGTACTTACCTTTAACACAAAACCGCACATTTTCATGACTGTTTTCCTTTTCCACCCAAGAAACCTCCATACAGGTTGCTATAAATGGTTTCGTAGCTCATTCCTTGAGCACTAAAATAATTCACCAACCATAAGACTGCAGACTGATTTACCACAATTTCACTCTCACTCATCTTGCTGAGTTTCTCTGCAAAATCAACCAAGCTATGAAATAGCATTGACTCATTCGATACAACCCAGGCAGCCAAGACAGCAGCAGAGAAGCCCTGAAATGCATCATTAGGTAATAACATGATAGCCTCAACAAGTTGAGGTGATGGTGCATTATAACAGCATAAATTTAAAAGACCTTCGACGGCAATGGCATGCATGCTTCCATCTATTACACCGGAGCAGAAAAGCTTCAGAACTATGCTCTGCACCTGAACCTTTGAGACTATAAGCTCTGACCTTATCAAGCCCCAGAGTTTATGTTGTTCAAAACAACCCCAGTTCAGAGAGCTTTTAACTAAAAGAAAAATGGATTCAGCATCCTTACCAAACACACAAAATTTCTTTTTGATGATCTCAAACTGCATATTCACAAGATCAGTGTCATCTAACTGGGTAACAAGTAATTTTACAATCTCCTCCTTGCATATGCATATATCTGAGAGAAGATCAAATACGCAATAAAATAAGTGTTTCGCCCTCCTAGCATTCCGTTCCACACAGGACACCAAATCAAGATAGAAGACCTTGGTTAAAGATACATCTGCGTCTTTGTACAAAATATCTTTTGAATTAGCAAGGAAAGATCTATAAGCAGAAAAGGCATTTGTTACCAACTCAGCAATCACCTCCTTGTCTATTTTAGAAAACGAAACAACTGCTTCTTGAGGGTTTTCTTTCATACCATTCCTGAAAGAGTAGTACCCATTCATATGAAACATCAAAAACTGGTTCTTTGAATCAATTTCTGCACCATCACTGTTCTTAATATCTGAATTGCCTGTAAGACCTGCTTTGTTTACCTCATAAGCTAGACGAGATACATAAGACAACAATCGGGCTCCCACAGGCAAACCATTCCTAGAACAAAATAAAAGTAATTCTTGTAGCTTTTTTCCATGATCAAAGATGAAGGTACGGATTATTAAGGCAGTGGCAGATCCTATTTCATCATCATAGCTGGGATCATTAGGAAGTAGTTCAAGAGCAGAAAATAGATTATACCCGCTCAACTCATAGGTATTTACAATTCTGGAAGACAATATTTCAGTGTTTATTGTTCTGCTAGCTTGTGCATTGTCATCAAGCGAGAGAAATAAAACTAGAAGTTCTTCCAGAGTTTTGAGGCCCATTTTGTAGGATTTCCTTATAACTTCTCCAAGTTTTTTCACCAAAATCTCTACATTGTCACACTGACGTACATCGTCTGCCACAACTGAAGGATGAGAAGCACATACATCGTCCATCACAACTGAATGATGAGAAGCACATACATCGTCCATCACAACTGAATGATGAGAAGCACATACATCGTCCATCACAACTGAATGATGAGAGGCAGATACATCAACCACAACAGGAACAGAAGCACCAACAGATGTAGCACTTCCATGGGCAACAATGCTGCTAGGTTGTCTTTCAGAATATATGACGCCAGTTTCTGCACAAGATTTACTTGGAGGAGAATGAGGCTTTATAGAGTGATCAGGTACACCAAATAATTGTGATTCCTTTGGAACTTGAACCTTCCTACCTGAAGAAAGTATCCTTAGCCTGTCTCGTAGTATTGGAGAAAGGCCATCAAAAGAAATCAAAGCGTCCAATGAAAAAATTACTCTTTTCTCAACAAGTGCACTAAAAGCTGATGAGACACCCAAAGCTATTTTATCCTTCCTTTTGATATCATAGTTGTCCACAAGAAGGAATAGAAATTCAAGAAGAGTGTGCACCATATCAATGTATCTAGGTATAGAAAATATCATTAACAGCATTGCAGGCTCAATGTTCATAATTTTGTCAGTTTGATCATCAAAGAAAAGCCAATCATAAAATAAAGCAAGTTTTGCATTGGCTTCAATATAATTCTTCTTACAACATTTCAAAAGCCATCCTATAACAGCCCATCTTGGAATAATATCAGACTGAATGACTTCATTCGGAGGATGATGTGCACAACATATAAACCGAATGATGTCAGAAATGACAGTTTCCCTCTCAGATCCACATAAAAATTTCTTGGCAAACCACACTTGGTAGCGATTTTGAGAGCCCAGTTTCACATTTGTCATTAAAAACCGTAGTTGGGCCTCCATTTCTGGAGTAATGCAAAGCAAAAAGTATCGACTTGAAGTTCTTGTGTAATAAAATTTTGAAATATCCAAAAAACCAGGGGTTTTAAAGTTGCTCGGGTTTAATAACAAGTCTTTCCATAAAGCTTTAAATTCAGGTACATAAACTAGGTCTTGTAAGAGTCTAATAAAATCTCTCCCTATCTTCAAGCAAAAATGAAATTGCTCCCTTATTACTTTAATGCAAAACTTAATCTCTAATTGCTTCAGAGACTCCAGTTTTGCACTAGATAATCTGCAGTGATCAGCTAATAACCGTAGAAAGGTATATAATGCACTTGGTATAACCCCTGGCAATTCTTCCAACAAACAACTCCACTTGCTCAAAAATAGATTCACCATTTCAAAACACAACCATAAATTCCCTTCACCAAAATCCCCACCAACAATTTGCCTCAACAGGGATATCAAAACACCATCAACCCCTACAGCACATACATCTATCATTTCCTCAGTTACAAAAAGTATCTGACTTTTTGCTGAACCAATGAGTTTAAGATATAGATCATTAACAACCTTCCGAAGCAGATAAACAATCAGACCATAACCATCAATGACTATTGCATGCAAATGCTTGATATGAGTTTTAGCAAAAAGTGGTTCACATAAAATCCCGTAGAGAATAGCTTGATTCAGCTCCAAGTATTCTTGTGGATTTGGGATCTTTGAGCAAAATGGAGGTCTTAATTTTGGTTCAAGAAGATTGAAAGCTTGTCTCAAAGAGAGCTCAAAATGATTTTCAGCTTCATACGAAGCCACGTGAATGAGTTTGGAAGTCATCTATTGTATAACAATATGATGAGATACAGGGGGAAGAAAAAAGGGAGTCACTAATTGACCTTTCAGCAAACCAGCTAACAAATGGTAATTCGGAGATCGAGCACCTAGTTTGGAAAAGGCGGAGCATAGAACTCAAGCATTTGAAACTGAGCAGATTGGTATGGAAAGTCCTAATGAACTTCCCTAGCAACTAAAAGTTATGTTAAAAGAACATCAGCGAGATATAGCTCCACAGTCAAAAGCCATAGCAGAACAAGCCAGTACTTCGAATAAAAGCTAACTATCACAAACCCAATCAAAGACATACTCCAAACCAAAAATATCAAAACAAATTAAGGAAAAATCTAGTGCCTGTTCGGCGATCATCACTGATACCACAAACAACTTTCCTATTAATTCAGAGCACAACTAGATTCAATTTCCACACTCAATAATCCAAAAGCGGAATGTTAGGGTTCAACGAATCGCCAATAACTCGCTTCTGCTACTGATGAAGGAAGAAGAAATCAAAAACAATACCTCGTTCTCAGGTTTCGTGAATTAGAGAAGAAAGAACAGAATCAAGTGGGCTCGCAAACAAGAAATCCTCATATATCAATGTTCGGAAATGGCGGCAAAAACTTATCAAAAAGATGGAAGTCGACCACGTAACAATTTTGTTTAACGTATGATTCGATTTAGTTTTTTTTTTTTATTAAAAAAAAAATTACTTTTTTTAAAAAAAATATTTTCAATTTTTTAAATTTTTAATAGACTAATATATATATATATATATATTTTAATCATAAAATTTCAAAATAGGGAGAAGGCGCCATCTTCTTTACGCAGAGTTCAGTTCCATTGTCGAGAAGATCACAGGTCCCTCCGCTTTCTATACATCATTCGAGTAAATCGCGCGTAGTTTTCTTTTAACAATTGCCATTCATTTCCCCTTTCTTTCTCGTTTGTTGTGTTCGGGCTTTGATTATGATGTTTATGCTGGAGTTTCAATCAGGCATCATTGAATTTTGAGTTTCTCGGTTAATCTCGTTTCTATTATTATTGGTGTCGGTATTTCTTGGTGGAATTTCGTTTTGGTTTATAGCTTTCCTAGTTCGTAGAAGGAGTTTTATGTGATTATACTGCTTGCTAGGGTTTTAAGTAGAGGTTTTCCTTGAGAATTTGTGGTATATTTTAGTGTTGTACTAGTTTCAAGGAAGTTCATTTTAACTAATTTCATTACTTCGGTTGATTATCTTTGAATTTTGTTTAAAAAAGAAATGATATGGAATGAATTTAAGGTGAACTATCGTGAAGTATTCTGCGGTTGGGAGGAGAACGAAGCATTTTTTTATAAGAGTGTGGAAACCTCTCCCTAGTAGAAGTGTTGTAAAAACCTTGAAGGGAAACCCGAAAGTGAAAGCCCAAAGAGGACAATATCTACTAGCGGTGGGCTTGAGCATTTACAAATGGTATCAGAGCCAAACACTGGGCGGTGTGTCAGCGAGGAGATTAAGCCCTCATGGAGTGGACACGAGGCGGTGTGCCAGTAAGGACGTTGGGCCCGGGAGTGGATTGGGGGGTCCCACATCGATTGGAGAAAGGGAGCGAGTGCCAGCGTCCACGCTAGCTCTGAAAGGAGTGGCTTCGGAGCTGGATTGTGAGATCCCACATCGGTTGGGGCGAGAATGAAGCATTCTTTATAAGGGTGTGGAAACCTCTTCCTTGTAGACGTGTTTAAAAATCTTGAGGGGAAAGCCAAAGAGGACAATATCTACTAGCAGTGGGCTTGGACCGATCTAAGGACCAAAGGGTTTGAATGACCCTCCGAGAGCTTTTTCCTAACTGGTGTTGTAAACAATTAGGACACAGGAAAAATGCTTTGGTTTACCACTTGCCCTACTCTGCATATTACACATTAATTCCACGCTACTTAATTTCTATTCTTATAACGAATATGAAGGTGCAATTTATGCTTAATGTATACATTTATATTATTCCCCATGTGCTTAGTTTTAAGATTTTTTTTTATTATTATTATTGACTTCAGATTATTAAACTGCACAATCACCATCCAAGCCACTATTCATCGAAGAGAATATAATAACAAGAATGACAAGTCGTGTTACCCCAGGACGGCTGATTATCCCAAATGAAAACTTGGGCATGACTCAAAAGAGTAAGTCTCCACATTGCATGATAGCCATTAGTTTTGGCTAAAATCTGTTTGGCCAATGAGCATCGTCAAGCTGGTCAGTGGAGATCTAGTGTGAAAAGATTCTGTAAACCATGGCTTGAAGTTTCATGTTCATGCATTTCTCATATAACATAGAACATCATTTAGCAGTTCATCCTGTAGTATTCTCTATTATGTTCTTTGTTAAGTTCTATACATTTTCTACAGAATTTTCTGCTGATGGAAATGGAAAAAGCTCAAAGATAATTCACAAGAAAGGGATAGCAGGGTCAGGGCGTAAAGCTCTAAATGACATTACAAACAAATCATCCTGTCGCCAGGACGCTCCATTGAGGAAGCAAGAAAGAGCAAAGGAAGAAATTGATGTAGGTGGTGAAAGATTTTTGCATGATCATGATAAATGCGTTGATGCACGAAAAGCCACTATGTCTGCCTTTTACTTGGATCTTCTTCTTCCTGGACATGGTAAGCTGTTGAATGTCGAGGATAAAATTGCTTTCAATTTGATAATAACTAAGTCTGCTAACGATTACTGCTTTTGTGAAATCTTCTGTGATTACTTTTATTACTATGTTCATTAAGAAAGTCCTGAATGGTAAATCTCCAGTCATTTATCATTTTACCGTCATCTTTACATGAGATTTAAAGCCCATATTTTCATATGCAGACTCATTGTCCAAAGTTGGATGTCATACGTCCGATCAAGCAAAGGTAATTCTTCTTAAACTACTTTCAATTTATTATTCTCTACTTATTTTTTTTATTCTTTGTCCTGTTGTTACCATAAAAAATGACATACGTATTCATCACTATATTTTGACTCAATACCTATAGGAGGAAATTGTAAAATTCAAACGTGTTTTAGTCATAAATTCCAAGTTACTTAGAATACTAATGTGTTGGGATTTTCTTGAATCTAAATACTATGGTTTGAGGAGATGATCTAAGGTAGATGTGTGTAGGCTGAGAGAATTCATGGGTTATATAAAGACAATGATATCGATCAATTGATATAATATGATTTTTCTTGATGTGTTTCTTCTCTTCCTTTTAATTAAACATATACTTTTTTCTTGAGAAAAGTGTCTTAAACTCAAGAATATTCTCCTATTTTCACTCATTAAGAATGAAAGTATTGCCATTAGCTGGGAATATGAGAAGTTTTTAATTTTGATAAAATTGATAATACACAAATGAGTAGAAACTTGAAGTATATTTCTAGTCACTATGTTTCAATCTTTATGTCAATTTGTCCTTATACTTCAAAAAGTTTTGTTACTGTCCTCTTAATAATGTTTTTAATCCTGAGTCGTGAATCTCTTTATGCTATAGATTGATGTTGATGCCCCACAATGTTACCCTGACCCGGATGAATTGTTCATTCCTGAGCTTCCTAATTGGTCAAAATATCTGGCCAAACAACAATCACCCCCACGCTCCCCATTGCGTTGGGATTTTCCATCAACTTCATTTTCTTGCCAATTTGAGGAGCTGAACTTTGTGCTTACGCATGAATGATGAAACTATGAGAATTCGTACGAGGATTGAAGTTTTCTTATCTTCCCAGAAAGCATTCGTAAGAAAGCAATCAATTGATTCAAGTGATTCATCTATATGATTAGCGAGAAAGCTCTTCTCTTGCTTAGAATGGAGGAAATTCTGATTTTATGATGTTGATCAGTAGTACATTTTGTGGTTAATTGACAGCTGAGGGTCTTAATCAACATAACTTCACCAGCAATGTGCTTGAACTTGTAGTGTCCATTTGGCTAGTTGTATAGACTGACTTTTTTTTCTGCACCTATGCATCGATGAACTGTTTGTAGAAGCAAAGCAACACGACTCTTGCTTTGGAGACAAGCTTGTTAATTTTAGAAAGTGGATCTCTTTGAAAACTAATTGAATAGCTTTTAAACCCTTCCTCAAATGTGGCTATCATAGGTTCTCTTCCATGGTTTATTACTTATTTTCATGGCTATTCCCTACTATCATCTCTTGAAACCTTTTTTGCAGGGTTGTTGAGAAGTTCCAAATCTTAGAATCTAATTTTTCGATGAATTTGAATGTGCAAATTAAATTTCATATATGTGCAATGAACTAGCATTCGTTTCTGTAGTAAACATGAAATTCAAATGTCTTGGTACTCTTTTTTACTACTCAATTGGCTCTCAATTGACTTGGAATAAGCATGGCTAGAAGCTCCGAGATGCCAAATACTAGAAGCTCTATGCATGTTTCATACGATATTGTTAATAGTGATAAAATATCATCACTAGTTTGATAAGGTCAAACACAATAATTGTATGAGCCCTATCATCACTAGCCCGATAGGGTTAAGCACAATAATTGTATGATCCCATTGTATATTTGTATATTTATTTTAGGATCAAACATTTTAGGAATAGATTGAAGGGTCTCTACTATAAATACCTCTTCATCCTATCGAAGTTTTAATCCCAAGTAAGAAATCCAAAGTACTAGAAGTGTAGAAGAAATCCAAAGCACAAAGTAATGCCGTAGTTTCTATAGAATGTCTTGTAATCTCTTCTCGATTGGTGTTAATAAAAAGTACAGTATATCTATTCTCGATTGATATTAATAAAGAGTACGAATGTTTCCAACAAAGAGTTGTCAACACAAATTTCTAAAATTTTAAACAAATCTAAACAAACAATTTTACTAAAGCGAAAAGGAACAAATATAAATAATCAAGATTTAGAATATGCAAGAAAAAGGGGGAGGAAGAGGGGCAAGATGTTTATGGAATTTATATTGAAGCTCATTTCATCAATAGACAGCAAGTAGTAGTATTTACATTTCTCATAACCCCCACCCACACAATCATACACAGGAAGAATGGAAAAGAAAGAGAAAAGAAAACCAAATAAGAAAAACACTAAACCTGAAAGAAAGAAGAAATCGACATTCGAAAACAAATCATCAAATCCATCTAATTTTTCATCTAATTGTACCAAATGTTTTCCCTTTCTTTAAACCTATCATCATCATAGTTGCAAATGATTGGGTGTCTCGCTGTTTGCACAAATCAATGAGTCAACTCTTCATTTCCAATACCAATACTAGACTTGTCCATCACACGTACATTATATCGTTCGTAAACTCGTGCACGATTCTCTGCCCACCATTGCTCTGCTTGCTTCTCTGTAAATCGCTTTCGACTGCAATCAAACAGTGATGATAGTTCAGAAACTTTTGCATGGAGAAAAGAACATCAGGCAGTCGATTGCTTACAATATGAACAAACAAACTCAATAAATGAAAGTAGAATCGGTTAGTTAACAATTTCCCTTCCATTATTTTTTGTTCTTTCTAGTCTACCAAGGTGTTCTTAAATCACTACGATATCTAAAAGCCTAAAGCAAAAGTTCCAACACTATGAACTTAGTATTAACCATTAATTTGAAATAAGAAAGAAATAATATTGCAGGAGTATGCATTCAAAACTTGATACTCCAAACATTTTTTTAGCAAGATACCTATGAGTGTATTACTACTAAGGCAAAGCAAACGACAACCTAAAGGCAGGGGGAGAGATTACCCCGTCCAAACGAAGCTAACTACAAGAACTTGTCAGGATGAATGATCATCGACATCGGATAGTTACAAAAGAATTTGTAGTTGCTAAGGCACCACTAAGTTGTAAACTGTAATTGATACTCCACACTTGAAATGGTACCACAAGCAAACTTTCTCAAAATAAAAACACTGCTTCTGGTAAACAACCTATTTAATTTTCTTCTTTTTTATTTTGTGAAAAACCTTTTGAAATCTTAGCTAAAATGAAGAAGAAATAATTATCAAACAACCAGCAATTATTCACAACCAAGAAATGTACTGCTGTGAGAACAAAAAATACTTGGCTATCATGAGTTTCTACCAATAGGACTCATACGATGGATAACTGCAATAGTATTTTATGAAAACTGGGTATATAATTGGGTAAAACGTGCATACCTGAAACGAACTCGCTTAAGATCCTTGGCACCTCCAGGTTGTGAGGTGAGTGTAATATATACACCAGGCTCATCTTGCTCTACCCATTCTGCTTCTTGGCGAGATTCACTTTCTTTGATTCTATTTCCATTCTTTGCTGAATCCAATTGGCTCAATTTGCTTTGAGTTGAAGACTGTTTATTCGGGGTACCCGACCCATTAGAAAACAACTGGACACTTGAACAATTAGACTCGGTCTCTAAGGATGTTGCTTGAGCACTTAATTGGTCAATAGAAGTGTTGATCAAATGATTGAAGGTTGTGCCGGAGCTTAAAGAGGCAAGAGTTGATTTCATGTTACGAGCAGCTCCAACTGGCAGCCTTTCAGCCATTTCCTTCAGCTGTTCACCATCCGATTGAAAGAGCTTTAGCAGTCACTAGGTAAAATTTGCATTGAACTCTAGGATAAAACAATCGTGCAACATATTCCGGGCATCAAAATAAATTTTGGGTATAAATTAAAATTGACCAAATGCTTAAGACAATCATTTGAGAGTCTCCATTGTACAAGCACAACATAACCAACCAAGCTATAATAGTTATTTATGTAGTCATAAAAAGGAAAACATGAAGTAGTCATTAAAAACCATCTTACTTGCGCAGTTAGTGACTTGATCACTTCTTTGGCTGCATTGCATCTTGCAGCCTCCTCACTTGCTATTGATATTGCTTCCTTTAACTGCTTACTTGTTCTTTCTAGCTCAACTTCTTGAAGTTGTGCTTTGCGTGTAAGGTTTTCAACCTGAGAGAGTATTCGGTTAAGCATACTTATTCTCCAACACGATAAGTATAGTTTATTACTTCGCGTAAAGTTTTATTAGATAAGACTGTCATGGATAGAGCCGAACAAAGAAGCAGAAGAGGAATGAACCTAATAGGGTGTCCAGTAGAAGATGAAATAACCACATACCAAAGACAAATCCACCCAGAAGATTATAAGTATATTCCTCTTTTGTAAACTATGCATGTACAAACTATTCTTGATAAGGAAGCAACCTAATTAAAGAAAATAATAAAAGAACAAAAAAGAGGGGCGCGGAATACGAATAGGGTGGCCCCATCGGATAAGGTTCGTGGTCTCTGAGGAATAAGTATCTACACAAATTATAACGAGAAAAGTACACTGACACTTCCTAAACATCATTACAGTTTTGACTAATCAAATCACATAAGTGTCATTAAAGGATTAAAAGCAGAAAAAAAAAATGAAAAAAGAAATTACCTGAGCCCTTAATCTAATAACTTCCTGGCTAAGTCTGTTGTTTGTGCTTTTAGCATCATTCACCGCAATCCTTGGAGAGGTAAGTCCTCCAAGAGTAGGAGTGGGAGTAGTTGAACGTGGAGGGCTGGGACGCCTAGATATTGGTGATGTTGCTCGAGAAACAATTCTTGATCCAGGAAGAGATGCAGCAAAGAACTTTTTTGAAGATCCAAAGACCGGGTTAAAAGATTTAGAGATATTAAGAGCTCTCCGCTGAGAGCCTCCACTTGGAATTGGAGAGACCCTGCTGCTGCTAAATTCTAGTTTTTTGTTTTTCTTTGAAGCCTGACTTTCCACCTGCTTGAATGATTCAACAGAATGAAGCCTAGAAAGTTGAGCCCGAGATTTCAAGTCCAGCTTATCATTTTTATTCACAAGTTCAGTTGATCCCTGATTCATGCTTCCTCTTCTGCTCAGTGAAGACTGGGAAGAAGCGTCCATTTCAATAAACTTTTTAAGCTTATGATAGCAATTATCACAAACCCGATAAGCTTTGTTGGGGTTTGGTGCCATTGAAGCCTTGAGAGACTTCTTACTGCTGCAAGAGTGACAAAACACAAGACCACAATTATAACAGTTGTGGCGTTTCCTTTTAAAGTTGAAGGGTAGGCGGCAACCAGAACACATGGATTGATCAACACCTGAAACCCACTTATGAAGGCAAATAGCTGCAGTAAAATTGGTGCCACAAGCAATGCTTTTAACCTGCTTATCCTTAAGAGCCTCAACTAATGTCGGAGTATTTCTATCATCAGTGCTGCCGTGACCTAAACGACCATTCGCCCCCTTGCCCCACGTGTAAACCTCAGTTCTAGAAGTTAAAACAGCAACATGATATGCACCACAAGCCAGCTCCTCCACAAAGCTTTTTGAGAGTTTTCCTTCAACACGTATCGGGAGTTTTCCATCAGCTTGAGGATTCCCTAGCTGACCATAAACAGGGCTTCCCATAGTGTAGACATGGCCAGTGTTTGTAAGTGCTACAGTTAAACTATGTCCACAAGCAACTTGACAAAAGTTCGGTTCAACAAGAGCAGCAACACAAGTAGGCACAAGTTTTGCCTCTTTGTCACCATGCCCAAGCCGACCTTTATCTCCATCCCCCCAAGTAAACAGTTTCCCTGAAGAGCTGTTATTCGAACCTGGATTTCCAATTATAACTTCTACAACTGCAGCAGTATGCCAAACACCACAAGCAGCTCTGACAGTTCGTAGACCTCTGAGAGATTCCACTTCTCTAGGTATTGAAATGCTGTCTCGATTTCCATGACCCAGAACTCCGAATGTACCATCACCAAAAGTAAATAATTTTCCAGCAGATGTCACCAGTGCTGTATGCCAAGGTCCACAAGAGATAGATGATACGTGTAAACCCTGTAAGGGCCCAGTTACTCGTTTTGGAACCCAGTGGCTTACTTCTTTTCCATGCCCGAGAAGGCCAGAAGTATAGGTTCCATCACCCCATGTATACAGATCACCAGAAAGTGTGACAGCACACGTATGATATTCACCACATGCTACTAGCTCAATGTTTAAATTACTGAGGGCGTCAATAAGCTTTGGATGAAGAGCATCAGAATCTCCTCCATGCCCAAGCCTGCCTCTGTACTCCTCCCCCCAGGAGAAAACTTCACCTTGCTTGGTCACCAAGGCAGCATGGCGATTACCACAGGCAATGTTTTGGACATCAAGCACAACTACAGACTCTAAGGCTTTTGGCAGCAAAGAATCCATTTTGGAATCAGAAGAACTACCAACTCGACGAGTTCCACCACCGAGGACACCTTCGCCAGTTCCTTCCCCCCAAATAAAAACATCCCCCAAGGCATCACAATCATCATTTCCTGAACCTTGGCTTGATGAGCTGACAGCACTAGATAGACTAACCCTAAAAGCATCCATTTGAACTGCTTTCATGTGGCCATGCATGCTGTCTGAGCCTCCGGATGACAAAGAGTGAACTGAACCACTTGCAGAATCTGAGTGGAAAAAACCTTTAGGTGGAATATTATACGACATTACATCTGATAATGCCTTATCCAGACCATATTTTGGTGGACTTCCATAAGGACTGTGAAGTCTAATGTGCTCTCCACCTTCCTGAAAATTTATGCAATGATATATCACTTTAACTTGATTTTACAATGCTGAGAGAAAGTTGAAAACTAAAGAAATATATACCTTTTGCAAGCTGTCATTGCTGCTAAATGGGGAATGCAGGGGAGAACTTCTTCGAGTAAATGTTCTAGGACTATTAACTTCAGACAGCATCCCATCACTCCGTGATTCAGTTCTCCATTTTCGATGATGGATACGCGAAATTAATGTTTTTAAGCCACTAAACCAAACCTCAGTTTCATCTTTATCTTTGCATATCTAGTATATCATAAATAAAAACACTATGGAGTATCAAAACAAGAAAAAGTTTAGTACTACTGTAAATAAGTGAAAGAATCGCTCACCAAATCAAGTGATCTCTCGTTATATATCAGAGAAAATGATTGGCATTCCTTCTCAGGCCGTGGATATCTATGAAAGATTGGCTGAAAAAATTAGAACCACAATTAATTAGTACATATCAGGAATACAACTTATTACTTGCCCTATAGAAATGGGCTTTTATTTAAGGTCACTGGTATAGAGGCGACCTTCATGGGTCATATATGGAGAGTATCTTAGGCTGTCACACGGAGGTGGTTGGTGTGGATGTATCTTTACCAATCAAGAAACCTTTCACAAATCCTCTTATAGAGAATGCTCTTAAACACGTCTACAACTACCAAAAAAAAAATTGGGGAAAGGGGATTTCCTTGCCTATGCCTCTAGAAGCCTTAATAAGACCTGTAAGCTTGCGATTTACAAGGACTGAGAAAGAATTGTTTGAAATACAACCTCCAATTCACAAGATGCTTCTTCTGCCAAACTCTTTTCTATGGAGCAATTCCAGTCTATTGTAGCATAAGCTTTTTCAAATTTGAGCTTCACTATCCATCCTTTTTTTTTTTTTTTCTTCCTAGAGTTCAAATTTCCTGACACTTCATTAGCAGTTAAAAATGAGTCAACAACTTGTCTACTAAAAATGGATACTGACTGAATTGACAATAGTAACACCTTCTTTAATCTGGAAGCTAGGACTTTTGCCCAACTTAATAGATAAGGAATGGGATTGTACTATTGAAGCATCGAATCTAAGATTGTTGAGAAAAAAGAATCTTTAAATTTCTTTTGGATCTAATCAAAACCTTCACTAGGTACGAGAAAATTTCCATCATGTATAGATTTCAATTTCCAACTGGACAGTATTCATGTAACTTCTTTTGAATCCTTTTTAATTTATTTACTTTTAACGAAATGGCTTCTTGTCTAAGAATGACATGAAAATGACAAAGAATTAGCATCCTGAACTTTTAACCATAAAATTGAATCTCAAAATAAGATTTTATGGCTTGCTCTAATGAGAGTCTTTTTCTAGTTTCTCTGAGGCTAAAGGAATGGAAGAATGTTTAGGGATATTTACTCTATTTTTGGTTGTTTTATGAATTTTATTCGGTTTCCTACTTTATTTTGGTGTAAATGCAAACACCCATTTAGTAATTATAGTCTTTCCTCTTTAATCTCCAATTGGGGAGTATTTATGTACTCGTAAATAGGTGTTTGGAGTTTTTACTCCTATATTTCATTCATAAATGAAATTTGTTTCTCTTAAAAAATGAAAATGCAAATTTGTCGCTATAAGCATTTTAATATCCAAATAATAAAATGAAAGAAGATTGCATCAAAGAAAAAGTTAAACATGGCACAAGGCTACCTACTTCACTCAAATACAATTACATTAACGTTGAACTAGTGGACCATTAAGCTATATCATGGGAAATATCCGCAAATGATAACAATTTTGAATTCGGTACTCCCAAATAATAGTTATTCTGAATTGGATACTCGGAAATTATAATTATTTTGAATTGGAGGCTTACAGTCCGTTGCCCAGAAATAATTCTAGAGACGTGGCTGAGCTTAAGATGCTTCTCCTCTTTCCCCGAGAACCATATCAAAACAGACTCATCCTGAAACCATGAAGATATTACTCAGAATCTTTGCAATGGAAGTGCAGGTGAAATACAGAGACAAGCTAAAAGATGGCTAATCCAATATCTAACCATTAAAACCACACGCAGAAAAAAAAAAATTATATGCTTAATTACAAAAAATATTTTTTGAAAATTATACATTCTGCATAGAATTATATGAATAAGCACACGTACTAATATGAAAAATCAAGAAGTACGGACACTTTAGTTTGGCTAGTGTGTCTGTGTGTTTCTCCAACTTGTATGGAACACTTGGTTAGCACAATACACATGGTATTAGACACTAATTGTACAAAGTCAATATAAGACCGACATTTGTAAGATACATATCAAACACTCGTGAAATATATGAAATAGACATGTAATAATATAGAACAAAAATAATAAACTTTTAGAGGGAAATGCATCATCAAACTAGTTTCTCTAAGCATATAAATGCATAAACTTAGTGACTTTGAATTTTCTTCTGGTATAAAAAATGATATATATTTGATAAAATATATATCTTAACAAATATGTCCATTTTCAAAATCATGGATAGTTATATCAAAATCATAATCAAATCTGATTGCACGACAAATTATCAGATCAAAGCATGCTTATATACCCAAAACATGTAGAAAATAAACAAGAAGATAAACCCGCAGGATTACTCTTCTTTTTTTTTTTTTTTTTTTTTTAAATCT